CCAAGAAGCCATCATTTGAATTGTTGAGAAATTGCCTCTCAAAGATCTGGCCTGAAATAACAACTTGACAATCTATGTGCAAGTGTTTGGAGTGGTACACTACTATTTCCTTAAAAAACATTATATTTAGTTTCTTGTTTGCTTTCCTTCACACTGCCTGCTCTGGATGGTATTTAGATACTATAGGCAACCAATTTAGGTATCCAAATGAAAACTATAGGCTTCTTATGCCATCAGTGGAAAGAGGAACAGTACTTCAGAGGGCAATTAAGAGTAAAACACTGAGAAACCTGCCTGCTTTGTCAATTTCTTGGAGGAGCAGGACACTTCTGTTAAAGGCCCAGGGCAGATGCAGATTGTGAGATTGTGAAGATGTCAAACAAATACCGAAATCTGTTAATAAGATGTCACTTGAATTGCCATTTAAATGCCTGGAGACTCTCTCACTACTTGTTGGTTGCTCCTTCTAAATATTCTCCCTTAGGATGATTTTTCAAGAAAATTGCTCTTTTGCTATTACTATCTCAGTTCTATGCAGATTTTAACCTAATTAACCACTTTTTTTTTTCTTTTGAATGGCCTCAGAAAAAATTAATTTCATGGTTGGACAGATATTCTGGTTTGCCTTTAATTGCTTTTAGCATTTTCATATTATGAGGTACAGATGTACATTGAGGTACAGAGGAATTGTTTTGCTGGCATCCCCAGTCAAAGCTGATCTTTGGCCCTACTGCTCCTCTGCTGCTTGTGGTTTCTTCCCAATAAAAGGTAAAAACTTCCCAGGCCTCTGCCATGTTCTCATGCTGGCACCCTGTGTAATTCTGCTTTGCATGCAAGGAGCCTACGCTTTTAAAAAAGCTCTCTGTCATCCCAGAATGTTCCAGGCACTACAGAAAAACAAACAAGAACTCCATTTAAGCCCTCTAGACATGTTTCTGTCTAGAAGTTTTAGACAGAAAACTGGAACAATTTTAAATAAATCACAGGCATCCTAGACCAAAGGCTTTTTTTCTGTGTAATCTAGTTTCCATGAACTCTTATACACTTATCTGTGTTGCTGCTGTCTGGATCACAACCTTCTCCCTAGCACTATAAAGGATCTTCTCTAACTGCTGTCCCCACAGCTGGTCATGAAGCTGCTGAACAATTATCCTGGTTCTGCATACACAGACACAGTATTTTGATAACTAAATGGCCTACCATTACAGCTTGTCAACAACTGAGAGTGTATCCCCATCTCCTGGAGGGACCACTTGGCTTTGTGCCTGCTCCTCTCTGAAAAGCTGTCTCTCAACATTTCTCCATCTCCATGTCTCCTTTCTTTTTTCTTTTTTTTTTTTAATCCCTTTGTTATTCCAGAACAACATTTTATAATTATTACGCTTTACCCCCAACTGCTGGTAAAATAAAGGTGTTGCATATAAAACACCACAAACTACTCATGGGAAACTGGCAGGGAAAAAGAATCTGTTCCTGCTTGTCTAAGAGACATAGCCAAAGTACTTGATGGATGAAATAGGAAGGGGAAGGGAGAAAGTTTCTTTCAAAATCCAGTATTACACATATTCACTGATGTACAGCCTGTACTGCTTTGATTTTGCAGTGAGCCTGTATTTCTTAAATTGATCTTTTTATTTAGAAAAAGAAGCTTGCTTTGAGAAAGTTTCTATTTATAGTTATAAAAATATAGTAATAAACAACAGACCACTTCTGTTTCTCTCCAAAATAAAGCCTTTTCTTTATAGGAATGTTTTATTATTTCCTGATGTACACATTAATTATCCCTGGTTTGGGCTTTTTTTTCCAAGTCTCATCTGAAAATATTTTAAATGGAATGAATTTTAAAACATTCTCCTTTTGGAATAAGCTAAATTTCTGAACTCATGAAATGTTCTATTTATTGCAGCATTTTACTTTGCTTCCAAGAGGAAGGCAAAGAACTGCAGGGACCAATTAGAAAGAACTGGAAAATCCTCATAACATGAAGGACTGACAGCCGAAAATCCTAAATCTGATGGACTGCCTTGTAGATTGGCATGAACAATGTCTCTCCCCATAAGTAAACCTTAATCTCCTAAGCAGAAAGGAAAAGCATTTCTTTTTAAGGCTGCTTTAGTCTTTCCATGCCCAACAGTCCCTCTTTTTCTTTATTTTTCTATATCTTCCTCTATTTATTTTTATTTTACTTTTTTTTTTCCCCGTCTTTTTTTCCATTTTTTTCTTTCCTTTTTATCTCCTTTCCTTTCCTGCCCTCTAGTGACCAACCAAGCATGTTTCTAAACAAACTCAGCACACTTCCAAAATACTTCATGTTTCTGTTTTATGAGGTTATGCCACCAGAATAAATACACTTCAAAGGTAGAGGCCATTGTTATATCCCAAATTACACTAAAAGGAATAAGAATGAAATGTTTCTGAGCTGTTCATGGCTGAGCCTCTCAGGTTGGGTTAGTAACAGGTGGGTTACAAACCCCCTGCTGCCTCTAGAAAAGTCCCTACCACCTGTATTGGATGGGATTTGGCATATATTTCAGCTATGGTTTTATAACCATGCTATTGTACAGAAGAATGAAGAAAAATATTAAATTTTACAGATTATTTTCTCATAAAATAAATAAACATATAAACAACATACAAAAGGGGGGGTATATATGGTGAATCTCAAAAGTCACTGTGAAGGCTATTAGCACATCCATCCTAAAATATGCTGAGAGTCTTTCCCTCCTAGCATTCAAGACTAATTGAATCCTGCTCTTACAGTGTAATTTTTAAAATTGTTTCCATCCCTAAAGACCTGCTGTACTTTCACAGTCAAGCTATCATGAAAACATGGCTGGAAAAGGAAATCAGGCTGCAGACAATTGAGAATAATAGTACCTTTTGGGTATAGTGATGTGGAGAGAATGTAGAGTTTATTTCAGGCCACGTTGTTTATAATCATGCTCCAGCGGAACAGTAAAATATTGTTCTGGATTTAAAATTACTTAGAAGACTGAGGAGCAGGATGTGTTTGTGTTTACACAGGTATTTGCACTTCCACAGATTTCTAGATTCAAAGTCCCTTCTTTAACTTTGCAATGAAAGCAGTCAAGTTAATGCATTTGCTGCTTCTGCTGTAGGCCCAGAGAACTCAAAAGCTTGTATAGTTTTCCAAACTATGCTAATGGTGATAATGAAAGATACAAATGGCAGCATTGCAGGTCTTGTTTTCAGTCTGTGGTGCCTGCAGGCAGGAAGGGAAGCTCTCATCATGCACACTTTGGAGGAGCTGGGAAGGTCTGAGAGGGCCTATGAGCCACAGCTGATGACAGTTTCTTTGGGAACATTGTGGCCCCATGCAAAGCAGTGGATGAATTATGTATGTGTGGGACTCTGGCTGTTCCCTGCCTGCTGAGCACAGCTTGAAATTTCAATGGAGGCACAGAGAAAAGCCAGTGGGATTACAGAAAACACACATGACCGAGGCATCACGTTTGTCAAAGCACGTGGTTTCTGCCCTGTGCTGGCTGCATTCTTCTGTCACTCTGCTGCTGTGGCTGTGTGTAAATCACCAAACTGAACACACACGGACACGAGCAGCAGTCCCTGATCTGTCACTAGCATGGTGACAGCCTGGTACAGCTTGTAGTCTCCCCCCAAAAACCTCCTGGGTGCAGTTTAGCCATTAGCATGGACCAGGGAGAGAAAATTTGGATGTAATTGCCTTGTTTCAAGGATGGGGATGTTTGACAGAATGGAAGTGACTAGACTGCACAAATGTGCTAGATCTGTTTCCTTGTACTTAAGTCATTTAATTTCCTAATGTGACAGAAGTCTGCAAGGTGAATTGATTTTGCAGGTACTCATCTGTGCATTTGCAACAGGAAGGTACTGACTCTATTCAACTACTTTTTCCAAAATAACTGTTTTAATGTGGTGTGAGTGGAAAAAAAAAAAAAAAAAAAGAATTATCAAATGAATTCTCTAGGCTCAGGGTTCCGTAACTGTTTTAATGTGGTGTGAGTGAAAAAAAACCCCACAGTTCAGAATTATCAAATGAATTCTCTAGGCTCAGGGTTCCCCACCAAACCGATGAGGCTTACTGCACGGGCAGGGAGGAACAGGACACTTCCCGTTCTCTTCCAAAACCTTGAACTGGCAAAGTCAACTAACAGGTTCTTTAATATCTGTTTTTTTCGAAATTAATAAAGAGAACCATGCCATTTATGTTGTACAATTTCCATTTCATAGTTATTATGCAAGCTCTGAACTTCCTCGGAGTCACAGTATTTTCCTATATAAGCAACTGTGCAGGGAGCATGGATCCACTGGCACCAAAACGCCGTCTTAAGACACTTCGCACAGGGAAAAAAATCCCTGAACAGAAAAATCCCAGCATTAATTACTGAATGCACCAAAGGCACATTTGTTCTGGGACGGATCGGCGGTGCAGTATTTTCCTTCTGCCCCTCACCATCCCTCCCGAGGGAGCGGGGTCCCGCCGCGGCTGAGGCGCCGCTGGGGCCGGGCCCGCCGCCGGCCGGGCCGCAGCACCGGGCTGCGGCGCGGCGGCGGCCGAGCCGGCCCGGGAGCTGTTCGAGGCCTGCAGGAACGGGGACGTGGAGCGGGTCAAGCGGCTGGTGCGGCCCGAGAACGTGAACAGCCGGGACACGGCGGGCAGGAAGTCCAGCCCGCTGCACTTCGCCGCAGGTACCGGGGCAGGGGTAGCCGGGCGGCAGCGCCGCCTCCCCGGGGCGCCGGGCCGGGCCGGGCCGCGGGGCAGCGCCGGNCCGGGCGCAGCGCCGGGGTCCGAGCGCTCCGCCGGCCCCTGAGCATCGCCCGCGGGCCGGGCCCGGCACCGAGCCGGCGGCACCCGCACGGAGGGGTCACCGAGCGGCACAGCTGCGTCTGCTCGCCTGTTTCCTTCTTCCTTTTTTTTTCCTTTTTTTTTTTTTTAAATAAACCTCATCTGGCTTTGAGGACACATCTGGAGTGGGGTTTGTGCTGTTCGTGTTGTGACACGTGAGCTCTGACAGGGACGCGTCCCACGTTCATGGATTTCAGCGGGCCTGGGCAGTTTTAGAATTGAACGCGTGAAGGTGTTTGTGAGATAACGCCGTTTCTGAGCTTTTTGAGTTCTTATCTTTGACAAATGGACTTTGTTAATTCAGGACGTAAGTAAGCACAACTGACGTCACAGTACAACTGCTTTCACTGGTAATTGGCCAGAAGATTGTATCCCACCTTTTCAGACAAAGACCTGACTGTGACTGTTGTTTTCATGTTGGTTGTTTTGGTTTAATTACAGCCTTAGATCTTGGACTCCAAGGCTGACAGGCTGCAGAAAACAGTAGCTTCTTTCCAGCTAATCAGTATGGATAGTAACAAAGATGCTTATTTCTTTATTAGATTGTCTTGGTAAAGGTTTCTGCTTCAGGTGTCCTTTCCTCATGTTAAGAGAACTTGACTCAGACTTAGGTCTAAGTTCTTGAATACCTCCTCAGGACAGCAGTATTTAATAAAATCAAGAAGCTTAATCAGCAAGAGAGCTACGGAGACAACTTTCCTGTCAGGGGAAAACAATTTTTGTAGCTATTTTTTTATATGCAGCAATCCTGCCTGTCCACTTATAAACTCTGAACTTCTAAACAACTGTATGTTTTAGAGCATTTTGGAGAAGTGAGGGGTAGTTTTTATTTATTTGCTTTTGGTTATTGTAGGGCTTTTTTGCCTAAGATGTTTCTCATTCACTATAATGATCTGGTTTATCTCTCTGAACAGGGATGATCTGTCTTGGCTTTAAATAACTCCTGATCTCTAGAAAGATTTTTCTTTAAAAAATGCATAGCCATAAGTTCATGTAGTTGTTAAATTTCTACGGTTAAACAGGTTGGTGTGTAAATGGGAGACGCTGTTGTCATCTTGAGTCTTCTTCCCACCTGGCACAGAGAAGTTATTTGCTCCTATCAGTGGCTGTAGGAGATTCTGAGAGTTTCTGGTAACGTGGGACAGAAAACACTTGTGTGATTGCTCCATGCAACTCTCTTTACTCCCTCAGGTTGAACTCTGCTGTTGTCAGCCCACCTGCAATAGGCTCTGTGTGAAAGGTGGACAAAAGTAGCTCTTGGATTTGGGCCTGACTGGCTTTGGTTTTGCCTTTCCCCTGTTATTCACAGTTGGAATAATACTCGCTTCTTTTGTCTCTGCCTCTGAAGGAGTCACATTCCAGGAAGTAAAAGCAAAAATCTGTTGTATTCCGGCTTTGTTTATGGGTGTTCTTAGAAAATACATTACAAAACTTCTCTGACTAGTTTCATTCAGTTTCAAGACTTCTTTTAGGGAGGAGTTGGAGCTGAAATACACCACGTCACCATGTTTTGTATTGCCCTTTCTTCCTTTTTTAGTGGCATTCTGGGTCTGAACTTGGGTTCTGTTTTTTATGTCTTTTCCCAGATCTTACTTAACAATTTTTTTAATAATAAACCCTATTCCTCTTTTTCCATATGTCAGTTTGTAAAGGTGGATTTTGAAGTAAAATATGTAAAAAAAAAGCTTCAAGCTTACCCTAGAAATGTCATTACAGAAGTAATACATATTGGAGTTTTGCTGGAGGTTGCTCTTTGGATTTTGTAGTGCACAACTGTGTGTGTGATAGTTAAGTTATCCTGAAGTTTTAGTCAAGAGCTCATCATCGTTCACAATGAAAGAGGCTCCATCCTCTCCCATCATAAACTGCATACACTTCCTCAAGTCAGTCTTTTTCAGTGTGTGTCAAAGTTCAAACTATCCCAAGGTTTTAAGGACTTGGCAGGTACCAAAATGCCCTTCCTGCAATCTCAATTTCATTAAAAATATGAACACCCAGCGTAGGGGAGAAGAATTTGAGTTCTTTTTGTTAGCTTTTTATCCCATCAGAAGTAGCTGAATGTCAATTATGACCCACAGTGATTGTAAATAAATATGTTTTCTAAATTATACACAGTTGTACATTTCTGCTATGATTAATAATTGTGAATTGTCAGCTAAAAATTGTGAGTTTCCAGGAAAGAAGTGCAGTGAGCTGCTCAGCTGTCACAGATGGTAGAAGAGTATCAGCTCAGGGTCCTGAGTAGCCAGCCTTTCTTTGTGGCAATAAAAAACAAAGAGTTCATGATGATAAGACCATTACCTTGCACATTTGAAAGGTGTGATCCCATTTAGGTGGTCTCTTGATAAAAGCCCAAGAGCTAAAGAAAACACTTCATCTTAAAAATTACAATGTTGGGGTTTTTTAAAGTGTTGAAATAGTTTTTACTGGAGCCAACTAATGGTAAAGAGGAACTTAGAGTAGGCAGTGACTGCCCTCCCGTGATAGCAAAGGCTGCCCCTGCTTTCCACTCAGGAAAAACAGCAGAGGCAGAGACCATTGTGCAGTTTGGCCACTTCCTCTGTACTCGTGCATCCTTCAGAAAGTAATGGGAAAATAACTCCCCTTCCATATATGGTGCCCTGTTGTACAGATGCTTCCCCAAGGAAGTAAGGAATCCCTGCTGTGCACTCAGTGCTGGAGAGAAGTTACAAAAATTGGTGTGATACAAAAGAGTTCATTTCATCCACTTTAAATTAGCTACAGGGGTGTTGCTGTACTGAAGGTACTGTACAGATGCAGGCTTTGCTGAGAGAGAAACTGTGGATTGCTCATGAATTGTATCTGATTGAACCTCTATATTAAATAGAGGGATCTGAGGGAATTCTCTATGCCTATAATGTTTACTAGAGCTGATTTTCAATTATGATGTTGATTCCTGATGAGGAATTTTACCTGTAAAAAAGAGGCTTTACATCAATACTTTGAGGGGTAGGAATGCCTTCTGTACGAAAATGAGTGGTTTAGCTACCAGTTATGTAACAAAGAATTTGATCAGAGTCTTTTGTAACATAATTGCAGCAGTCCTGGAGAACATTTTTTGGTACTCAGAAGAAAATACCAAGCAGTCTGTCATCAAATAACAGTTTTGATTATGTGTTTGTGGGACTCCAGCACATGTGAATGTCTTCTTTGAGTACTTTCTCAAAATAATTTAGTGTGTTTTGAGTATGTATTCAAACTATGAACAGAATTTTTGAAAGCTTGAAGAAAGTATCAAAACACATTTAAGAAAAATAACAGCATTTATAAAACTTAGAATAACTGAACATATTTAATAATGAGAAACATTATGCATATAATGTAATATAGACAATAAGGCTGCATGGGGTTACCTGTTAATATTTTTTTTTGGCAGCAGAAATATGCTTGCATGTGCAGTGAATATGAGTTACTGTGCCTGTGCAGATAAATTGCTTTTGCATGGACCATGTGTCTGATCCAGTTCTTATCTGAAGTATGCTGAGCTTCTTTCTCTGTTATGACAGGCAAGGTGGGTAAGTGGCATGGTGAGACTCAAAAGTGAATTTGCTGTAGGGTCTGTGGTTCTATCATAGGCAAGGTGCTAGTAAGCTAAGATTTGTATCAGTAGTGTTTCATGGAACCTTTGAGGTGGCCTTTGGAACATAACCAGATGGGTATAATGATTACAGGCAGAAATCCTAAAGCATTCTGGCCTCATGGAGATAGTAAAGCAAATATAAATACAGTCTGATGTCCTAGTTCATTTGCCATTATATAAGTATGCAAGATACAGCTGAAATTTGAGGAAACCCTATCAAGATATTGTTTCTGTAATCTTTAATATTACTTTTCTACTGAATTTAATCAAATTTTTAAGAGTTTCATAAACATCCTTAGTATGTAAATACTTCTTTAGTAAACCATGCCACTTGTGATTGTCTTTAGGAGTGATTACTGTTGTTGAAGTTTGTTGGTTGCACATCTGGGGCAGGAATTTCTCTTCCCCCAACCTGAAGCCTTTTCTCCCTTTTCCTCCTCCAGGTTTTGGTCGGAAGGATGTAGTTGAATATTTACTTCAAAGTGGTGCCAATGTCCACGCTCGAGATGATGGAGGCCTTATTCCTCTTCACAACGCCTGCTCTTTTGGCCATGCTGAAGTTGTCAATCTGCTCTTGCGGCACGGTGCAGATCCTAATGCTCGAGATAATTGGAATTACACTCCCCTTCATGAAGCTGCCATTAAGGGGAAGACAGATGTCTGCATTGGTAATTTTCTCCCACTCTTCCTGTGACTGACTCACTTGTTTTCACTGTGAAAAATTAAGAACCCTTTTAAGACCATTTTCACTCTATGGAGCTATGGCTGATACAAGGGTTAAAAGTAAACATCTTTTATAAACTTCAGTTCATATGTCACTGTTACAAGATACAGGTTTTTGGATCTTTTTTTATAATTGTCTACCTATAAAGGTCCATCATGGGGAAGGTGCTTTAAAGCGACATGGTGGAGCTAAATTCTCTTCTATTTCAGCTTGGACTCTTATGCTGCCTTCTCCTTCTGATTACAGTGCAGTGGGAAGACCAAAAGTGATCTTAATAATGGATTCATTCTATCTTACGTGTAGCAGCTGGGTTAAATTAGTTAAGGATGGGAAAACTTCAATTATATTTACTACCTGTTTTAACTACACAGTTCTTAAGAGGAGCTCTTTAAGGAAGAGGTAGAAAGTTAGACACGTAGTCCAGGAAACATTTTTGATTGTGTAGTTTGCTGCCATTTACTTTAAGAGAGCTGTAAAGCTCTAGAGAGCTGTACAGATAACATTGCCTGTTTGGCTGAGTGCAGCATGCACAGCCTGCCACTGCTGTCTGCAGGTTAGGAGAGCACAGGATTTGGGACAGCATGCTCTGGGGCTGATGGAAAGTAGCTGCTGAGTTTTTGTGGTGGGTCAGTCATAAGCTTTCAGCTAAGATTGGCTCTTGTCAGTCTGTGGTTGTTCTCTTTCTGATCTGCTTTTTTCTCTTAAAATGTGTCTAGATATGTTTCATCAGATACACTGGTCACCTGTGACATTGCTGACATTAAAAATCTGGAAAAGGAAGTTGGAATGTTTCTTTTTTTTGTTTGCAGATTACAGTAATGATATGTCTCATAAACCTTGTCTTATAGAATTGTTTTCTCATGGAAAACTTTGGCATTTTTGTAGTACTGTTGCAGCACGGTGCCGAACCAACCATTCGGAACACAGATGGAAGAACAGCTTTGGATTTAGCAGACCCGTCTGCAAAAGCAGTGCTGACTGGTAAGTGATAATCTTTAGATTTCTTTATGACTAGTAACAGTTGAACTGATGTGACACAGTAGTTTGGAGGTTGTCTTTTTGATACTACTTTAACTTATGTCTGGTTTATAATTCTAAATAGAATTCCCATGTGGCTTTAATCGTCTCAGTCATGGCATGTGTTCTGGATAGTTTATCATACTAGTTCAATAGTGAACTGTCAAATTTTTAGAGCCATAGAATGGCTTAGGTTGGAAGGGACCTAAAGATCACATCATTCCAACCCCCTGTCATGGGCAGGAACATTGACTGGACCAGGTTGCCCAGACCCCATCCAACATGGCCTTAAACACATCCAGGGGCAGGGAATCCACAATTTCTCTGGGCAGCCTGTTCCAGTGCCTCACTGCCCTCTGAGTAAAGAATTTCCTCTTAACATCTAATCTAAATCTCTCCTCTTCTAGTTTGAGCACATTTCCCTTTGTCCTCTCAATACTTGCCTGTGTAACATCTCACCCTCTTTTATAAAAGCTCCCTTTAACAACTGAAAAGAGTAAGTACTTCTAGCACTTATGTTCTCCATAATTTTAGCAGAGGAGGATAAGTTGTGAACTTCACATACACATACTTATTTGACAGCTAAAGAAAACCCTTTTGTCTTCTAGGTGAATACAAGAAAGATGAACTCTTAGAAAGTGCCAGGTATGTATGTTTGGAAAATTACTGGAATTGATTATATTTGCAGAATTTTGTATAATTAATATATAGATATGTAGTCTGTGGACTTTGCATTCCCTCTAGATGCTAAGCTTTGCCTGTTTTCTGTGAATGAAGCTACAAAACTAGTTGCATAAATGCATTTTTGTTTTCTCTTTAATGCTGACAATACAGAGGAAAACGTGTTGCTTCAGATCTGTTGAACATTATACAGTGAAAAATATAAAACCAGAATAAACCACTAAAAATTTGGAAAAGAATATTTCTGCTCATTTCACATCTTGTTTTTCAGGAGTGGAAATGAGGAAAAGATGATGTCTCTTCTTACACCATTAAATGTCAACTGTCATGCAAGTGATGGCAGAAAGGTATTTTTGTTTAAAACTTGATTTAATAGTAGTTCTCTCTTACATGATCCAGTTATTGTTTGACCAGATTTTAAAAATGTTAAACATAAAGTCTATTTTCTTCCCTGTATATGGGAAAAATAAGATTCCCCCTCGAGCAGCCAGCTGAGCGTTTTTTGTTTGTTTTTTAATCTTAAAAGTACTATGCAAGTAATTCTATATAGGAGCAATAAACAAACACCTTCTCAGTTGAAGCTTCTGCTTGACCTTCGTATCTTCAGTGATAAAGAAGCAAGGACTTTTCACAGATTTTTGTCCCTATCAGGAGAAACACACAGACACTTAATTTGACATGCACCCTTAGGCAAGTTACTGCTCATGATTCAGGAGCAAGCTGCTCACTGATGTAAGTAATGGTAAAAAATACATTAAAATGTTCAGAATCTCCATTCTGAAAAATCATGAGTCTTCTGGGTTCAGCCCCTAGCCTACAGAAGGTTCAGGTTATTGAGTATCACTTTTTGGCATCATTGTTCTCATTAAATATTTGTACTCATTCACCCAAGTTTTGATTTAGTTGCTTCCCCTTTGTGGGACTTTGTGGTAAGATACTGGGATCTCCAGACCACTGATGCATCTCTGTTTTCTCATCTGGTTATGAGGCTCATCCTCTAAGAACTGTAAAAATCTGGTTCAGTGGATGGGTTTGAAATGCAGAGGATAAGAGTCCTCCTCACTCATTTGTAGCTCTGCCTTTAGTGCTGCTGATCCTTGAATGCATTTGCTAGAAAAGATCATAGAGCAATTAGTTATCTTGTCTGCTTTCTGAAGGGTGAGAGTTTAGAGGAGATGAGGTTTCCCTCACACTCCATTCACTTACTGCATTCACAAATGTGGATAACAATCCCTCTTGATAATTTTTAAACTTACACTGATTGGCAGAAAGACTTCTTCATAGTTTAACAGTCATTGTTGCTAATGGGCTTCCTACTTCCCCTTTCACAAGGATATAGCTTGTGCTAGCAAAGTATTTATACTATAGTAGGCTAAAAAGCCAAAAATTGGCTTTGTATTAGTGATGGAGTAAATTTGGGATTTGTGTTTATGTTGACTTCAAGAGTAGTTAGTGAACAGTGAACATAGTTATCAAATGTCTGATTCAAGCACTCTGGGATTTTTTTTAAGCTTGTAAGTCCTGAAGGACTTCAGCATTTAGTACTGTTAATAAGTTGTGGAAAAAGAAATAGAAACTCAACCTTGATTTTGTATTACTGATTTATTCTCCATTCTCTTGTTTCAGTCTACTCCATTACATTTAGCAGCTGGGTATAACCGTGTAAAAATAGTCCAGCTCTTACTGCAGCATGGAGCTGATGTACACGCCAAGGATAAAGGGTAGGTTCCTTTTTCCTTTGTTCAGAACAAACAGAATCCATTAAAAATTGAGGTGCAGTAAAGAGCAGTAATACTGTTTTAATCACAAAGAATTTCCAACTTTAGTCTGTTCTGTCACCTTTAACCTTTCTGTTAGGACAAAAATGCAAGTTGATTAGTTTTCACAGGAGAACATATTGCAGCATTATTTTTGTGAAAAAGGATATAATTAGGGTCACTCCTGAACATCCCCTGCAGATAGTTCTTCCTGCTTAGGGTTCCAATTCTGAATGGAACCACCTCATCTACAGTGAGACAATGCAATTCGCTTCTCATCTTCTGATTATTGTAGATGTTTACTGTTCTGATGAATCCTGATGGGATTTTCTGGCATCTTCTTGAGCTTCTTATTTCCCCATACTTTCATCTGAACATTTGTTATATTATGTAAAATATTCAACATGAAGCATAGTACCAGTTGCAGTGTATGCATTTGAAATTAATACATGTGTACCAAAATAATCATCCTACTCCTTTTTCTTCTATGTAGAGATCTGGTGCCACTTCACAATGCCTGTTCCTATGGTCATTATGAAGTAACAGAGCTTCTAGTAAAGGTTGGTCTTTGAAGAGATCAGATTGCATATTATTAAAAAAGAACAGTTTATAATAGACTAAGACAAGTTGCATGGTTTTTTTATTTTGTATGTAGATTTACAAAACTTAATGATAAATTGCTTTTGCTATACATGTTAGTGATCATTAAGCTGGAGCTACAGAATCTTCTGCTTGCGAGGGAGCTTTTTCTTTATAAATGTGCTTTCTGTTTTTAATTCTCTCTGCTCCAAAGTTGATTGTTTTCATACCACCAAGTACTAAGTACTGCTTATCTCAATCTTTCTACACTCACAAAAAAAAAAAGAAGCTCTGAAAAACCCCCTACAAGCTGAGTGATGGTTTGAGTTTGACAGCAGAAGAATATTTTAGAAGACAAAGCAATAAGAGGTGTTTAAAAATAATACCGGTAAAGATAGTAAATGTTTTAAAATTAAAGAGCAGTCAGTCTTTTGAGGAAATGAACTTTACAGCATCAGTTCTGGCCCTGAATTGTGGGCTTTACACCAAAGAAAGAGAAACCTGTCAGTTTTCCTAACAAAGGGGAGCTCTTGGAACTGGAGCAGTGTGTCTGGATTATATTAGTCTTGAAGATAAGTATGATACACATTAAACTAGTGGCTTGAAGATGTGGGCTGCAACATTGTATGTGTACTCCACCAAAGGAGTTTTGAGCTGTGCCTGTTCTCAGCTGCCACAGCAAATCAAGTTTGTTATAACAACTGAGAGTGTTCTGTTATCTAACTCCAGACATTTGGCTGCTCAGAGAAAAGCTCTTGTTCTGCTATGTGTGTTTCAGCCCCCCACTAATTCCATGCATCTTTCTACTTGTTTAGCAAAAAATGTTGTAAAAAACTTATTGACATAAGCTTACATTGCAGTAAATATAAATAGTCATAATTTTTTTTTTTACTTAAGGAGCTAGTTGTAAAGTGAATTTTTACACTGGTGGTACTAGACACAACCGCACAAATGAGCTTTTGCCTAAACACTACTGCGTGTCTTAACAATTTAGCTGGAGTTGTATTCTGCTTTGGATTTGAGCTCTAGAGAATTCTGAATTATTTTGCAAAGCTGTACAGCTTTAAGAGGAGCAATGGTAAAGAGCATATACTTGCTTACAGACTGAACTTGAAGTGCAATCAAAATGTTTCTGGAGAAGAATTACACATGCATTACTCATTCAGGAGTGTTACTTGTAGGGTCTTGTACCTAAATGTTTTGAATTAAAACTGAGTGCCCATCTCAGTTGAGATACTGTGGCACTCACATCTTGGGGGTTATTCACAGAACATGTATTTATCTTAGCGCAGCTGGTCACTCCAGACATTTTCTAGAGCTGAAAAGAACCAGAGCTTGTTCACAGGTGATTTGGAGAATGTGAATATTTCTCTTTCTCTGATTTGACCTGTAGCAGAGCTCCTTTCCTTTCTGAAAAAGCCTGAAAAGACTAGCTAGTCTTTGGCTTCTTTGAATATACCTGTGGGACACCAGGTGATTAAAAACCACAATGTGCTGAAATGTTGTGTTAGATTGAAAATTAGTGTCTTGGTAACAGTTTGCATATAAGCATTGATTTTTATTTTAACAGTCTACTGTTTTAAAACTAAAAACATAATCTTTTTCTGACATCCTGGTTTTGATTGCATCTTTTTTTACCCCTTTCCATTTCAAGCATGGAGCATGTGTGAATGCAATGGATCTGTGGCAATTCACCCCTCTGCATGAAGCAGCTTCTAAGAACAGGGTGGAAGTATGTTCTCTTTTGTTAAGTTATGGTGCTGACCCAACACTGTTGAACTGTCACAACAAAAGCACCATTGATTTGGCTCCAACACCCCAATTAAAAGAACGATTAGCATGTGAGTATCAAGTGGGATCAGTTCTGTAGTTACAGCTTGTAATGTGTAATTAGATTCCCTAGACAGTGACCTGCCAGAAAGCAGATTTGGAAAATGCTTACACTTTAACAGTAATTGTGCAGTGTTACACAGTATATTTCACTGTTTATAATTTGAAACTGCTATATTTTCCAAATGAAAGCGTTTAAAATAATTTTACTGTCAGTTTTGTAGTAGAGTGGTTGTGATGGACTTTGTAGCTTTTCCCCTATTAAATGCTTTCCTTCATGACCATGTAGTTTGCTTCCTGTCATTGCATCAAGACTGTTGAAATATTAATTTTAATTCTACAGTTTTTTCTTTGAAGAAAAGAGTAACTGTTTGGAATGCTGAATACATTAGAGTATGCCACAATCACTGAAAGTTCAAAAAAACTGATGAAGGACATTGATTTTTGTCCAGCGAATTTAAAGAGTGAAAAGAGTGACCTCAGATTCTGTCCTTGAGTGGGGAATCAATATTATGAAATTTGTCAGTAAATACTACACCAGGCTTCATGAAAGCATCTAGAAATGGTTTTCCAAAAATAGGTCAGAAGTAGAGATTTTTATATGCCTGAGTTAGTACCTATGTGAACAGTACAACCTACAGAATGGTGAGTGGAATAGATCTTGTGCAGCCAGTTTGGATGTGTCTGGCTTTGGTTTAGAAACAAAGCAAAATTTGTGTGGTGTTTTGACTTAACTAACAAGTTCTGTCAATTGATGTAATAGCTTGAGTCAGACTTGGAAATGTATGCTCCATGGTCTGCTGAATACAATGAATTTCTTCTTTTTAACTGAAAGAAGCAATTCTCTTGATCCTTCTTGAGCCAAGAAGTGTAACCCTCTGCTATATATTTCTTTGTTTTTTAAGATGAATTCAAAGGTCACTCACTGCTGCAGGCTGCAAGAGAATCGGATGTAGCTCGTATAAAGAAACATCTTTCTTTGGAAACAGTGAACTTCAAGCATCCTCAGACACATGAGACAGCATTGGTAATATCTCAGGATTTATTAATGGTTTTTTATATATTTTGGCTAACTTAAGGAGACTAGATAATAGTTTAGCAATAAATATTGCAGTGTCAAGTGCTGTAATTCAGACCAACCTGGAATACCCAGTGTCTAGCTAAGCAAATAACATTGATTGATATTTTGTTCTTAAAGTTAACATTAAGACTAACATTAATTATTTAGGCCTGTTTAGATTGTCTAAATGACTGGGTTTTTTAGAATAGTCTCATTTTAAACAACAACAGGCTATGTGTGTTAGTTTTGTTTTGGTGGTTTTCAGCAGTTACTAGAAAGGGGAGTTGAAAATATCAGAGTTGAAAATATAAAAAGCCCGTGTGGAATCTTCCAAATTAATAAGCCTCTACACGTTTGGGGTTTTTTTTTCTGTTGTCTTTGTACGCCACCAGCTCTTAACTGCCAGTTGATCAGCAGGAAGTAAAACCTGGATATTGCTAGCTGGTTGTTAATTATAAACTTTTTAATGTTTACAGCACTGTGCTGCTGCATCTCCATATCCTAAGAGGAAACAAGTATGTGAATTGCTACTGAGGAAAGGAGCCAATATCAATGAAAAAACAAAAGAGTGAGTGGTTAGAAATGAATGCTCTTATGTTTGTTTAGAAAGTTTTGCAAAATACGTTTTGAATTATTCTTTTTTTTTTTTAAGCTTCTTGACTCCTCTGCATGTGGCATCAGAAAAAGCTCATAACGATGTTGTTGAAGTAGTTGTGAAACATGAAGCTAAGGTATGAGTATCATACTTTTGTTGACATTCATGTACTGTACAGATTTTCACACTGCAAGAGTGGAAGTTTTTGTAAAAAAATTCATTTTGGAAGGTTTCTAGATTTGTAGACTTAAGCTACAGACCATCAATCCATCAGTACAGCCCTCTACATTACAGAATCATTGTTGGTTTGTTTTTAAGAAGTGCAGACATGGTTCTCTCTGGGAGTGGAAAACTTTTCAAAGTGTCTTACTCAGTGCTTCGTTGCCCAGCAGGAATAATGGAATACATAAGGAAAAAAAGTGGGGGGTGTATATGAACAGCAAGAAGCTAAACTGAACTGTGTGACAGATAGACTTTACATGATGTTGTATGCAGTAAAAAGTAAAACTAAGGCAAAATGTTAATTCATAACACAATGTTTAGTTCAAACTTGCACAAAAAGAAAATGTGGAGAGACCCTGTAGTGCTTGAACCCTCCAAGACTGACAGTTGAATCTCTCTCCTAGAAATTTGATTACAGCCTTACTGCTAAGTTTCCAAAACCAGAGGAAGAGTAGGGAATGAAAGTAAGGTTTGGGTGCAGAGTTTTAAATTGTTGAATCCACTGTGGCTGAGCCAACAGATAGGAAGTCCTCGGTCTGAGAAAGCACAATAAGCTAATGCAAGGTAGAAGCTGTTCCACCTGTTAGCACTGAAGATCTGTACTGTGAGGAGCAAAATAGTGAATTACTCCTGTTTGTGGTAAAAATGCACTGGATTATTCCAATGCTTCTTAAAAGGGTCTACTTTATGAACTGTTTTTGTTTGAAATGTCATCACCTTTGGAAATAGAGTAAATATCTTCTTTTTATTAGAGTAAGGATACTACTTGTGAAATGTTCCCAGTCAGCAATGAAAACATCTTAATATTAACTTGATGGTGGTATTTCTTGTCTGTGTTATTTTTAGGTTAATGCATTAGATAATCTTGGCCAGACCTCTCTTCATAGAGCAGCACATTGTGGTCATCTTCAGACATGCAGGTTGCTGCTGAGTTCTGGATGTGATCCTTCCATCGTGTCTCTGCAGGGCTTTACAGCCTTACAAATGGGGACTGAAAGTGTGCAACAGCTGCTACAAGGTATGCTGAGTTACTCAACATCCACTGTGGTGCTTCATTTTACTTGCTGTTCCAAGTGCTGCCAAATAATAGTGGAGACTAGTCAGCAAAAAAAAAAGTGTGAAATACAGTACTAGGTGATGTTTTACTCTTTACTTAACAATATCATTTACTCTCTGGATAATCAGATTTGAAGATTTTGGTGTATGCTCACCTGGAATAATTTTATGAAAATCCTGACATAGGGTGGGGGGAATCTTGAAAGTAGAAAATGAGTTCTAAAACAAAAAATGCTTGATTTGCATTTGTGAGTGGAGGCAACCGTGTAGGTGAATTTTTCAAGAGTAAGGTTTGGACATTATAATACATACATAAACTTGATCTGGTCTAATTGTGAAATTGAAATAAGAATGCTGTGTTGGTTCCACAATATTCCAAAACATACTGGAAGCACATTGCTGAAGTCAACTTCCCAAACACCATTAGCTCTAGCAGCTATAGTTGTAGATAGTAAACAGAGACAAAACTTGTTGGTAATTGGTGAACTTTTTCTATTCTTTCCCTTTAAAAATCTTGAGTTATTTCCTGCATTAACAAATTTCTTCCACTGCCTACACTTACCTGTCATGCATTTCATTCATTTTGCAGAAGGTATCCCATTAGGTAATTCTGATGCAGATCGACAGTTGCTGGAGGCTGCCAAGGCTGGAGATGTGGATACTGTAAAAGTAAGCTTAAACCTCTCCTTAAAATAAGAGGGAATTTGTCATGATTTATCCTGAGCCAGCAACCAAGCCCCACACAGATGCTTGGTCAATTTCCCCCCAGCAGCGTTAGGAGAGAATCAGAAGGGTAAAAGCTGGAAAACTCGTGGGCTGAGATAAAGGCAGTTTAATAGAGAAAGCAAAAGCCACACACACAAGCAAAGTAGAGCAAGGAGTTCTTTCACACCATGGGCAGGCAGATGTCCAGCCATCCCCAGGAGTGCAGGGCCCCATCTTGGATAACAGTGACTTGGGAAGACAAACTCCATCCCTACAAGTGTTGCCCCCTTCCTCCTTGTTCCCCCACTTTATGTACTGAGCAGGATGCCATCTGGTCTGGAACAGCCCTTTGGTCAGTTGGGGTCACCTGTCCTGGCTGTGTCTCCCCCCAGCCTCCTCACCAGCGTGGCAGCACAAAAAGGCCTTGGCTCTGTGTGAGCCCTGCTCAGCAATGACAACAACATGTCTGTATTATCAGCCCTGTGTGCAGCACAAATCCAAAACACAGCCCCATACCAGCCACTGTGAAGAAAATTAACTCCACCCCAGCCAAAGTAGCACAGAATTATATGTCAGTGTGTAATTTCTCAAAGCAAGCAATCAAACAATTCTTCACTGCCTGCTTTGGACTTATGATCAGTCCTAAAACCTTTGTATTGCACAATTATTACAGATTGCAGAGTACAGTATTCATCACCTCCAGATGTTTGCCTTATATAAAAAGCATTAATTAAAGTCAGAGGTGTGGATATGGGAGCAGGTGGATTTTTTCCTCAGAACAAAATCTGTAAAAAGTAAAGACTGTAAAAATAATGGTTTTTTATTGAAAATAGTTATGCAAAATTAGATGTGTATAACACTATTCTATGACTAAATTGGAGGTGTCAACAGTATATGTAGTGACATGTTTTGTTTGGGGAAATTCACAGAAGCTGTGTACAGTCCAGAGTGTGAACTGCAGAGATATTGAAGGACGTCAGTCTACACCACTTCATTTTGCAGCTGGATACAACAGAGTATCTGTTGTGGAGTATCTTCTTCAGCATGGAGCTGATGTACATGCAAAAGATAAGGGGTAAATGCTTGAATATATATTTTCTTGGCAATTGAAATTGGTTAAATCTATCAGCTTTTGAATGTTGCTAGCTGATAAGCATCCCATTTTTCTAATACATTTTTTTATTTTCATGGAAACTTCTGTTAGAATGAAGATGCTAAGAATATCCAAAAGCATTCTGCAGTACTTAAGATTAGAGCATCAAAAATTTCTCTGGCCCTGTGCTTTTACTTCTCTTTAGTGCCCCACTGATTAAGTTTTTACTGCAATAAGTACTTTCGTATTAAAGTCTCCTTCTGCAATCCAGCCTTTGAGTGAATTTGTGTCATTTCTGGCTCAATGGTGACACTCCTGCTATATTAGACTGTTGGGGGAGTAGAGAAATATTTTGTCATGGTTTGATATGGTCAAAGATGCATTGTGTTTTAAGTTTCTATCGTTGTTGAAAAAATACCCTGTTTTTAAAGAGAGTTTTTCTCTTCTTTTAATTGTTTCCAGGGGACTTGTCCCTTTGCATAATGCCTGCTCATATGGTCACTATGAAGTTGCAGAGCTGTTGGTTAAACATGGTGCTGTTGTCAATGTAGCTGACTTGTGGAAATTCACTCCCTTGCATGAAGCTGCAGCAAAAGGAAAATACGAGATTTGCAAACTCCTGTTACAGGTATTACATATGCTGGAGGGATGTAAATTTATTTTCTTTCTTAATTACTTACAAAGTCCATTTACGTTTCAAACATTGATTTGTGGTTTCTAAATTATTGTAGTTAAATGTTTGCAGTAAAAGGGATACTGTTAGTACCTGTGTTGTCCTTTTTCACTGTAAATGGAAGGCGCTCTGCAGGATTCCAGTATGTGTCAGAATATTTGCTCATTAAGGCATATGATGCCTAAGATGAGCATGTTTATTCTGCTGACATACTTACCACCTGTTTTTGGTGTGCACAGCATGGAGCTGACCCTACAAAGAAAAACAGGGATGGAAATACTCCTCTAGACCTTGTTAAAGATGGTGATACTGATATTCAAGACCTGCTAAGAGGAGATGCAGCTCTCCTAGATGCTGCAAAGAAAGGTTGTTTGGCCCGAGTGAAAAAGCTCTGTTCACCTGACAATGTCAACTGTCGGGACACACAAGGACGGCATTCAACACCTCTACATTTAGCAGGTCAGTGTTCTAATTAACTAGTCTGATCAGTTACTAATTACTATGGCTGAACTTTCTATGTCTACACAAGTTTATAGTGTAGCCTCAAGCTGGAGGATTCAGTACCTTTTCTTTAAAAAAATTAGGTTCTTATACATACTATTTTTAGGTTGCTTTTCAAACTGTTTAATTGTTTGCCTGCTCTGTCTACCCAAAGAGGATCTTGGATTGTTATTGACACGTTTTAAAACCAAATACTCTTAAGGTAATGCTGTCCTTCATAATAGGTATTGCACTGTCTTCAGTGGGACTGACAATTTCATTTTCTTTCAAGTAATTTAAGTTAAAAATTAACTTCTCCATAGCCTGTTGGGAGTGGTGTTTTAAGTCTGTTCATTCTGTCCTTCTGCAATTCCAGCTGGTTACAATAATTTGGAGGTTGCAGAATACCTGTTGCAGCATGGAGCAGATGTGAATGCACAGGATAAAGGAGGCTTGATTCCTCTGCATAATGCAGCATCTTATGGGGTAAATATCTCAAACTTTCCGAGACTTTATTTATTTTTTTTTAATTTTACATTTCATTGACAGCATTTTGAGCCTCTGTAGAATGCTTTTGCTATTGAGTTATAGTGTAATCTTATTTGTAAGGCACAGAATGAATAATTAGATCACAGGTTATGTTGTAGGTAAAGTCTCTTATGAATTTATAAAGTCACGAATGGAGTTTTCTGACCATGAATGCCTAAAAAGCCAGCAGGCTGAAAGGTGTTCTGTAAAATGCCTTTCCTTACCTGTGCCAGTCAAATTTTATCAGGAAGCTCTCACTTACATGAATGCTGTTGAGACAGCAATTGTTTTTGTGAACTTGCTGAATCTTTGTCCTTGAATCAAGTCTTTAACCAAAACAGTTGGAGAACTTTACAGTTCCAAACTGGAAGTTCAGAATCAGGCTTTTTTCCTTCAGATTCCTCTGGATTTGGAATTTTGTTTTACCCTATCCTTTTTTCACAAGAGAACAAATCTTGCTTAACTTTTTGCTGATATGTCATAGGTGAGGAAGAAAACACCTTGTTTTAATACTTTCTAAAATCATAGTTAAATGCATTCCAAGAAAAGTCAGAATTACTCTGATTACAGAGAAATAGCAGTAATAGTTCTGAAATATTTTAGTACACTGTGGTACCTTGGAATTTAACAGGTGTTTTTTACTTTTCCAGCATGTTGATGTAGCAGCTTTACTTATAAAATACAATGCATGTGTGAATGCTACAGACAAATGGGCTTTCACACCACTTCATGAAGCAGCCCAGAAAGGAAGGACTCAGCTTTGTGCCTTGTTACTGGCACATGGGGCTGATCCCACTCTGAAAAACCAAGAAGGACAAACACCACTGGACCTGGTCACTGTAAGTGATGAGGCTCCTCTTGGGAAATCTGTGCTTATCTGTGTGTGACACCTCATTTAAAACTATCCTGTAAAAAACAGTAATACAGCCACTTCACCACTTCTGCAAAATTAAAAGTGCTGTGGTGTCTGTGGGGTTTGTATGTGCCTGGCAGAGGAAGTCAGTAGAGCTTTATAAACTGTCTTTAAATAATATCTTCCTTTAGGCATCTTATTTCAGTATGGACAGGAGGTGAAAAAACCTCAGAATGCTAACAAAATGAATTAATGCTTGTAATTTGATGCTTTGAATTCAGTGCTTATAGTTGGACTAATACAAAAATTGTGACAATAAAATATAAGCAAACCTTGTAGCAGCATAGATGTAGGAAACTATCTGTCTTTTTCGTTCTTGGAGTGTTCTTTCTAAGTGTTATAATGTAATCCAAAACTACTCTCAGAGTAACTGTTTTGTTTCATAAATTCTGCCTGCCGGTAGAAGCTTCTGTTCCTTTTTCATAGCAAATTAATTCTGTTTAACTGCCCTTACATTTTTTTAGAAATACTGAAGTCTTTGCTTTTTACTTTTTTTACAGCTGTTATGTATAGACATTTTACAGTTTCATGTATGCTCTTGGCAGAAAAGGCCATTTGTAAGCTGCACTGTAAAATGCATATTTTTCCTATATTATTTTGCAGTGTACTTAAGAAATCTGATGTAATGATAGTGCATTCTAGGAAAAAACATTGTACAAAAGTGTTCCTCTGTTCTAATGAGTTGTTTTCTGCTCTTCAGGCAGACGATGTCAGTGCGTTACTGACTGCAGCAATGCCTCCTTCTGCCTTACCGACTTGCTACAAACCTCAGGTTATAAGTGTGTCTCAGACTACAGGTTCTGCAGCTGATTCCCTCTCTTCTGTTCCATCCAGTCCATCCAGTCTGTCTGCTGCAAGTAGTCTTGACAATTTGTCTGGTAGTTTTTCTGAACTTCCCTCTGTTGTTGGTACAAACTGTGCAGAGGGAGCTACTGTTCTGGAGAAAAAAGAAGGTGAGGCTTTCTTAGGAGTGAATAACATTTTTTAACAAAAAGTGTGAAGTTTACCATACATTCATAGAGGTATTATAGCATATGCAATATTTAGATTCCTTATGATGTCATTAATGAGGAACAGAAGTCTGAAAGTCTTGCAGTATAAGATTTTACTGTTTCCCCCTTACAGAGCCTTTAAAATTTTTTTGTTGAACCAATATGATGAATTGTGTTTTAAAAGAGAAGTCAAATGAAATTTGGCTGCATACCAAGCAGTATTTTATTGCAAACTTTATCTAGGTTTTAAGAGGCTGTTCTTAGATCAGGTATCTTGAAAAGGTTTTTTCTATGACATTTTACTTGTAAATACGTTTTCTGTAGTAACTTGCATTTCTGGTAGCTGGTTGCCTTGTTCTCTGGCAAAGACTGTTCTTAGGGAGGTAGAAGAGCAGATTACTTGCTCCTGGTTAGTGATATTTAATATTTAATCTACATCTGCAAAAGACCAGGAATTTCTGCCTCTCTCATTGTTGCCACAGACACATGTGCATGCCTTATTTTACAGTACAGGAATGAAAGTACATTGTGTTTTTCTTCTTACCCAGTTTCAGGTGTAGATTTTAGCATTAATCAGTTTGTGCGGAACCTTGGCCTTGAACATCTAATTGACATATTTGAGAGAGAGCAGGTAAGTGGTTATATTTATTTGCAGATAGTCTGGGCTAGAAAGCAATGGAATAAATAGTGACTGGTTAGTACGATGTAATAAGACAGATTTTCAATGAGTCACAGAATGAGTTGGATGAAGAAAAGGACTGTAACTGGATTTTTAATTGATATATTAAAAAGGTATCTTAAAATATATGTGTATATATTAACATATACATAACACTTGCAAGCAATGCAAGTTACAATTTATGGTTTGTAGTGTGTTTACTTAAGACAAAAAGTTAGTTACAAGAAGGCAGTTGAATAAAAATAAAATACGAAAATAATACACTGAAGCCTCTAATGTTCCTGTTCTTTTTGCACTTGCTTTTTCTCACAGCTATTGTGAGGTATATTTTCACTGTCATTGGCATTTGTTGTAGTACAAAAAACATGGTCTTACTTTCATTATAGATAACATTGGACGTATTGGTTGAAATGGGACACAAAGAATTGAAGGAGATTGGCATTAATGCTTATGGCCATAGGCATAAAATCATCAAAGGAGTTGAAAGACTTATTTCTGGACAACAAGGTATATGCTTATTTTAAATTATCACATAATACTGCCTTTACATGATCAATTTTTATTAATTACTTATGTTATTCCAAATTGTATCTCATTAAAAAAATTGGTAATAAATGGTAAGAATGTCTTCTGACTTGAAACTTGGGTACTTTTATTATGCTGTGAATTACTGTGAATCTTGTCTTTCAGTTCTCTAATTTATATTTTTTCTCTGTGGTCACTATTTTTTGTTTACCTAGGTAAAGTGTTGACTTAGTACAAAATGCTCATAAGCTCCAGTACAAAATGCTCATAAGCTCCTTGAGATAGGGAGCATTTATCTTCTCAAAGCACTCCGAAGAGTAGAGCACATTCTGTTGACGAGTTGAGGCCTGTTATGTCCTGTTTGTTGGGTCCTGCCACAGAATGCTGTCTGCTCACTCAGAAAGCCAGCTGAAATTCTTATTTACACTCTTCTTTAAAAATAGAGTTGGTGTGCTTTCAGTGAGCCAAAATGAACCTAATTCCTTTGTTCAACAGCTTTAGCTGACATTGAAATTACTGCTGAAGCCTGTTTACTTGTGCAGGACTGTTGATACCAGCACAGTCCCAGCAGTTGTGAATTCATTATCATTCAGTATATTTCATTTAACTATGGCTGCAGAGAAAGCAAATAAAACCCTCCAAATCTTTTCTTTTTCTTCTTTGACTCATTGAAATATCACTTACTGCTGTTTTTCTGTGTTTCATAGAAATGAAATAAATTAGAATTGGTAGGATTTTCTCCCTTCCTGATTCACCATTTGTGAAATCTCATTCTAAAATTTCCACTCTATAGTAATGAGTCACTATTCAAGGTCTAAATTACTTTTTGCTCCTTAAAACAGTAAAAAGTAACCTGAAGATAATTCTTTTTCTGGTAATGAAGTATTTAAGTAAATCTGCATAATTTTCTCATAATTGTCAGGTCTTTCTGGACAGACTTATTGAGTAATTTGGATGAAAGTTAGTTTTAAGGTGTGATTTTGGCCTCATGTCTTGTTTGAGTTTGAAGTTTACATAGCCACTAACTGTATACTTTGCCTTTTAAGTAGGTCTGATGTATTTTTGAATATATGTGTATTTGTACATATGGCATCTCTTCCTGAAGTATAGCCATTGTTTTGAGGTTAGTAGTGGATGAGCTTTATTTTGGTTCTTGCCACTTTGATTCTCCTGAGCACTATTCTAGTTGCACACTGCTAACCTGAGGCTCCAGACTGTGCATGAATCTGTAATTTCCACTTTCCCCAGATTATTCCTTTTAAAGAGCTCATGGCAGACCCACTCTTTAATTCTGGTCACCCGTTAGTTGTCTGGAAAGGCCATGGCCAGAAAAGACACTTGATACACACTGTCTTCATATTCTTATATCCAGTAATTATACTCCTGTTACTTGCCAGTTGTGATTGCAGTCTGTCCAATGCAAACTGACATTGGATTCTGTGTAAAATTCCTTTTTTTTTTTTTTTGCTTATTTGGAAAGATAGAGAAGTTTCCTTTAAACATTTCCTTTAAGCTTTCAATACCAGGCTCAAGCATTTAGGATTGACATACTTAGTTCTTTGTCAGTTCTTTCTGCATGACCATGGGGAAAATACTCCTAATAATTAGAGCTTCAAGTTGCTCTTCCCATTCATGATGCCTTTGCCACCAGTAGTTGTGGACTCTGTACAGAGACTGGTTGCTTGCTGTGTCGCAGCCTAGAGTTGAACTGAACTCTGAAGTAAGCAAAGTGTTTACAAGTCTTTCCCCTGTTGTGTGTGTCAGTATAGTGAGCTAAGCACTGATAAATGGGTTAGTGCATCTGAAATGATGATTCTTGCTGAGAAGAATCAACGGGTACCCACAGATCAGAGAAAACAATTGTGGTTTCTGAGACTGTGTTTTATTGCATTCACATACATTTTGCTGTGTTTTATTGCATTCACAGGACTTAACCCATACCTGACTCTGAATACTTCTGCTAGTGGAACTATTCTCATAGACCTTTCCACTGAAGACAAGGAATTTCAGTCTGTAGAAGAAGAGGTGAATGACATTCTTTTTAGTCTCTCAGTATTTTTGCTATTGCTGCTAAAGGAGCAGATAAGGAAGTATTGCTAGACAGTTTAACAGTGCAGTAAACATCACTAAGTTTAAGTAAAACTTGCACAAGGATACTTCAGACTCCCAACTGTGACTGCACCACTTACAATCTGTGGTCATGATGTCTGTACCTTTTTTCTTTCTTACATTATTATTGCTTGCATTTTTAAAACCTCTACTATATATCAAATCTCTTCAATATAACATAAATTCTATGCTACCAATTGATTGCTTGTTTGTCATAGACAGTTTTACAGTTTTGCATCACTTCCTTTCAAAGTGCCATAATCACACAAGGCAAAATTCTTAACAAAGACAATTTCAAAGAGATTAGTGACAATCTCCTCCAGTTTGAAAACTAGACCATGGAGTCAAAATACGTTGTTTTTTGGGTTTTTTTTTTAATCATTAAACCTATTCATGTGCATTCACAAAATCTGGCATTACTTAACAACCAGTCACCTAAACATTTGTCTTATGATTTTTAATTGTATTAATACATAATTAGTTCTTTCTGTTATTTGACTTGTGTAAAGGAAACATGTGTTGAATGTCTTCTGAAAGAATGTCATCCTCTTCAAATTCTCAATTTTCAGATGCAGAGTACTGTCCGAGAGCACAGAGATGGAGGACATGCTGGTGGAGTCTTCAATAGATACAACATCTTAAAGGTGCCTGGGTTTTTTTTGTGGCCAGTGGTTTTACACGTTTGGAGTTTTGTCTAAAAGTAACATATCTGTAAAATGTTCTACACTTGTTTGAGTTCCATAAGGTGACAAGATGTGCCATTCTGAGACATGCACAGGATGAAGATTGCTTTCCAGGGAAATTCAAAGACTTATACAGAAAAGCTATTTATGGGTTAATAATCAGGAAGAAATTGACATAGAAAGATGTCACTGGAGAATTATTGAAGAAACTGGAGAATTTTTGAAGAAAAAGGCAGGCTTTTAAGAAGCAGAAGAGGGTGTCTTTTGAGGGAGAATGGTAGGAAAGAAACAGATGAAGGAAAAGCAAAACTTTTCAACTCTTGTTTTGGCTTGATTTAACATCAAACAAGTATAAAAAAAAGGCAGTAGATGAGTTTAAATAATCTAATGGAATTTTGGTTTGTATTTATGTGGTTTTTCCTTTAAAGTAATGGTAATTTTCATTAATACCATAAATATTTTGATTTGTAAGTAAGTACTACTGAGTTCTATTCTGAGCTGAAGTTACAGTGGAATTGCTATGCTATATCTACATGCACAAGACTTTGCAATGCCCAGCATAGCTCTGCAGGGGGTATGTAATTTATTTTCTTTTAGAAGTGCTTCTATCTTCACAGAAGGCATTTCTTAATTTATTGATTGATCTTTTTACTAGTGATTTGGCATCAAGAAAAATTGTGACTGAACCTGCTAAATTTAAATTAGAGCTTATTTAATTTAAGGATTATGAACAAGGAGCTCTGTAAAATTAATTGATTCCTAAGAATATAGTTATGACTTAGGCTGATTTTTGTTTTATGACAAGTCAGTTTGTGTTTCGTGGAGTCCCAAGGAAAGTGTTACCATTCCAGTGGTGGTGTAACTGTACTGTAGTATAGTGGCTATGGGTTATACATCTGTCCAGTAAAGTGAACTGAGTTTTTTGGAAATTTTGACTGTTTCAGATTCAGAAAGTGTGCAACAAAAAACTATGGGAAAGATACACGCACAGAAGGAAAGAGGTCTCTGAAGAGAATCATAACCATGCCAATGAAAGGATGCTGTTTCATGGTGAGAATTCGAAATGCACTTTATGATCTTATTAGCAGCACTCTTTATTGGAAGGTTTCTACTGACTGAAAGTAAATTTCCTCAGTGGAAGTAGGTTCCAGGTTTTACATGAGTTTTTTTTTTTTGAGCTAGTGTTTGTATGTCATCACAAGGGATGATACAATGTATTGTATTATTCTTCTGAAATTTGCATCTCCTTGTCTCTCCCCGAAGGAGACTCCAAAGATCTAAGTGAAAACATTTCAAGCAATTATGAATGAAAATTAAGTAGTGTGCCTCCTCAAGTCTGTTTTATCAGCTGTATGACCAAAATGATTAAAGGTCAAACTTCATTCTGTTAAGGATTGCTTTGGGGTGGGATTTTTTTTGTTTGTTTTCTTGGTTTTATAAGTTGATAAGTTAGTTTTATTAAGCATTCCAGAAAAGATAGCTTATCATTATCAAGGTAAAGCCAGTTGAAATCTTTCCTGTACAAAAATACAGAGTTTGTCCTGGTGAGCAAAGTTCACAGTGCATGTTCCTAAGGAGGGCTTATATAGTTCCCAACACAATGGGAATGTGTTATTGAATTGTGACACATACAAAAATCTGTGTACTGTATTTTCAATATTTCACTTCCTTTCTCTTAGGCTCCCCATTTGTGAATGCAATCATTCACAAAGGCTTTGATGAGAGACATGCCTATATAGGCGGCATGTTTGGAGCTGGGATTTATTTTGCTGAAAATTCTTCCAAAAGCAATCAGTATGTGTATGGAATTGGAGGTGGCACTGGATGTCCAATTCACAAAGATAGATCTTGCTATGTTTGCCACAGGTAAGTCCCTTGAAGGAATCTGATTTGCTTTTGTATATTGTGACCTAGACTGTCAATGCAGCAGTCTCTCTCTGAAGAAAGATTTGCTTGCCAAACAGACTTTCTCTGTACTCTCTGTGTGCTGGGCCTAATAGAAACTTTCAGAAAACTTTGACATTTCAAAGTCCTAAAAAATCTTCAGCCATCTTAAGTGCATTTAACTACATCTTTGCCTTTAACTTAGTATAAAAATCAGACTTAGGAAACCAGAGAATGAAGAGGATCTGCTAGATGCTTATGTGAAAGATGCAATATGAGAGTTTAGTTCATTGTCTGTTACAGAGAAAGGAGAAATTCAGAGATATTCAGATGCAGTATTTCTTTGAGGATAATGTACGTTGTAACAGTCAGCCCTCACATTGCTGCTTTTTCACACACTGAAATAGAGATGTGGGTTTGTGGATTCTGCTACTAACGCAGTTCTTGAATCCACTTTTCAACAGGAACACCTGTTACCAACACCATCAGTTCAGAATAAACTCTTAGGTCATGGAGTCAGCTTTGGTGGTGACAGTCTTTTTAACCAGATGAATATTTAGTGTTTGTGTTCATCCTGTTTTACATTGGTAGACAAGGATAAAGTCATCCTTCCAGAATCGTTCTTTGAGAATCCCCCTTTTCATGTTGCTTACTCTTTTCTGGGACTCTCAAATAATGAGGATGATCTTCCAGAGTTGCAGAGGATGTCAGAGTCTCTTCATGCTTTTTAAAGTTTTGAATAAGAAGGAGTTTTTAGTTTGTCTTCTGCAAAGAATGAGAAAAGCAGAAGCTTGGGCAAAGTGAGGTGATACATAACCTTGGTCTATAAAAATGCCAGGATTCCATTGTCATTGCAGTAAGTGCATGTATACAGAAATAAGAGCCCTTGTTGAGTCTTTTAGTAGTGAGAACAGCATAACAAACTGACAAATGCTAGTCTGAGGTAATTTGCATTGACCTAGAGTTTGCTTTGGCCTTGATGTTGGGTTACAAATCTACCATTAGAACACTTGTGAATTACCTTGTCAGGATGAGTAATAGGGGGAGGGGATAAAAAACTTTTTCCTAAAAAGCCCAAAAAAATTAAAATAAGTAAGTAACAGACCAAAAAAAAGGTGGTAGCAGTCTCTCAGTACATTGTTAAGTATGCTGTTTCCAGTAACTAAGATAAACATTTTTCCATATTACTACCAACCCTTTCCTTGGGCTAGAACTTTCCAAAGTGAGTACAACTTCTGTTAGCAAAACAGAACCTGAGAAATTTATGAACTATGAAAGCTGACTGAAGTGACTTCAAGGTTCAAGGTCATAAGCATTGTGTATTCATGGTGCTTTTTCCCTTTCAACACAGGCAGTTGCTCTTCTGTCGTGTAACATTGGGCAAGTCCTTCCTGCAGTTCAGTGCCATGAAAATGGCTCATTCTCCCCCAGGACATCACTCAGTGACTGGGCGGCCCAGTGTAAATGGATTGGCATTGGCAGAATATGTCATTTACAGAGGAGAGCAGGTAAAGAGCTTTTGGGCAGGTTTTACAGACTCTCTTTTGTCTTTGTCAAAGGCATGTCATGCATTGGGGGGTTTTTCCCTAGGTTTGTGGTGCTAGGGTTTGCTTTTGCTTAGAACAAACTCCAGCTGCGGTTGCAGGTGAAAGGATGTCTGTTTCCTGAATGATGCAGGGATTTTTACCTTAGATGTTTTGCCCTTTTTTCCCTTTATTAATTAATTTTAAAATAATTTTAATTGTTACATTAATTTTTTCTCCTCCTTAAAAAATATTATTAATTCATCCAGAGAATCAAATAATAAACAATGTGTTTGTCACTTTTCCAGGCTTATCCAGAATACTTGATTACTTACCAGATTATGAAACCTGAAGCCACCACTGAAGCTTAAGACAAGTTACTTGTGGGAAACCATCAGACTTTGGATGCGAAGATATCAATGGCTGCCATTCCAATAATAAGTTTTTTTTTAAAAAAAAGTCCCATTCCCAGGAGGTGTGGTAGCAAATGTGAACAAAATATACCAGTTTTGACTTGATAAAGCTTTAATAATGTACAGTATGTTTTTCTAAAATTTCAGAAATGTCCTCTTTTTCAGCACTTTAACAGATACCATTCCAGGCATAAACTGGGGTTTGGCTGTACTAAATTATAAACAAAAATTAACTTGAAACAATGGTTTTATACATTACTGCATTCAAACCTAGCAGAAATTGTAATGGTCTATACAGGAACTCATTTTACTAATATTGTGTTCTTTAAAACACTGCATTTACACTGAAAACGTTTTCATTTGTAAAACTGTAAATAAGAGCTTTTGTACTAGCCTGGTATTTATTTACATTGCTTTGTAATATAAGTGTTTTAGAACTGCAATCTTGTACAAAATGTTCTTTCCAGATGTGGGTTTGTTCATCTGTGTTTTCTCGTGCGAGATAGATTTGAAAAGTCAATTTTTTTCAGGTTTTATCACTTAATTGTGAGGGAGAAAGCAAATTTTATCTGAAGAGATTTAGAAATATCCAACTTTAGATTGAATACGCAAATTTTTGTTCTGTATTTTTATTTATGAATATACATTCCTGAGAATGGTGGGCTGTGAAAATAGAATGTTCCAGACAAGTACTAAAGTGATTTTCCACCTACTTCCTAGAGTTGCATATTTTATTTCTGTAAAATGCCTTTTGAAGTTTTTTATTTAACTGTAGGTATAGTTAACCTGTATCCTCACTTCAAGGCTAGTAGACCTTGCAAGTTACAGTTTTAGTAAATTATTTTCTTTGAATGTAGATGGAAAATTAACCTCAAGAAGTTCTTTCTTGAGTTTCTCTTGCTTACATTTAAGCCAGGAAGGTAAATAGTTTATTCCTAATACGAGAGCAAAACAACTTGGCCTTTTTTGTATGCTTTTTTTGGTAGATTAATCTACTTGTTGGTGCCCTCAGAATATGAGCATTGCAAGGTGGAAATGTTAAAAGCCATCCTCTCTCATCTCCTGTGTCTCGTCCATGTTAACATTCAAGCTGTGGTTGAAGCAGGTGTGTAGGAGTGTGTTTGTCTGCTTACAGCTGCGTGGAACTGCTGGGGCTGCACCTTCTGCTCCAGCTCAGCCAGCTGGGAGAGGAGGAGCAGCTCTGCCCCAGCAGCAGCTGCCTTTGGTAGCCCTGGTGAGGCCCCTTGGGCAGAGGAGGAGTGCAGGAGGCACAGCCCCTGCCCGGGTGTCACTGGGGGCTCCTGGCTGCGCCCACCCGCTCCACCAGCACTGCCACAGCTCTCGTGTGTATTCTGCTTCTCTGCCATCTGCAGTTTGTACCTACATATTTCAGAGATATGTATATAGAAATTATGAGTTACTTGGGGTTAAAGTGGGTAGGAGTATATTTTAGTTGTTTAATATTTCTACATACAGAACACTGTCCCAGAAGACAATTTGTTTGCAGGGCATGTTATCTTACCATGGTTTTAAATGTAGTAACTGATCAGGATAATTAAATCCTCTTGCTGATGTGGTGGTTATGTGATTATGCTCTATGTAAAAATGTATTGAACCTTACCCAGTTATGTGAGGAAACTGAATAAGATTGCAGAATTCTTGCAGACAGTAATATTGGCTATGAATAAAAAAGGCTTTGATTTTTAGGTACTTTCTCCCAGCATGTTGCCTGTTCCTTAGGTATAGTAATGCTGGAATTTGTGTTCATGCAAATCTGTTAATTATGTTTAAAACTTTTTTGTTATTGCTAAAATGCTTCATTCTATATGAATGATCACCTAATGTCTTGTAAAATATTGTGGTATGATAGCATTTTAAGTGGTACCACAATGTTGGTTTTGTCTGTTTGGGGATTTTTTGAGCTGTTTTTTTGCATGACATACCTTGCACTCTGAAGATGGAAGCTGTAATGATTTGATAATACTGACTGTTGAGGTGAACCTTTAATCCCTTGTGCAATTAGTTCTGCTTTACTCATCTTGAAGTGTCTTTACATGTACTGTATGACATTCCATATCCATTTAACACTAAATAAATTTAATTCACTGTTTTTCTGGTAGCTTGGGAGTAATTACAGATGTATGTAGTATGTTAATCCATTGTTTTAAATGTAAGCATGCACAATGCTGTAACAAACTGCATCACTGGAGGCAAATTAATTACATGAAGTAGAAGAGCTTTTAATGTGGATGAAAACCTGTAAATACTGTGAAAACTTGTAGTTTGATATATGGCAAACTCCTAGCTTTAGCTAGGAGTGAAAGTGTTTTAGTAATAAACCCAGAAGTCAGCTAGAATTTATGCACTTAAAACTCCATTATATGATGCAGAGCTGAGAAAGAAAACTTGCTTATATTGGTTTGGTAAAATGAAAAGTAACCTGAAGAGTCTTACCTTTCAGATAACTGCATGGGTGTGATACATACCTGAGCAACAACAGAAGGAACTGTTTAGGTCACTGGTAATATTGCAATAAGTAAGTAATTTTACTTAAGTAGGACCATTTATATGGTGGTAGGTTTCCAAAACCAGGTTTGTATAGAAGAAGACTTAAATAGACATGAGCACTAGAGGGCAGGAAAGCAAATGTTTTCTAAGATTAGTGGTAATGAAAATTTTTTAAGGGTCTTGGGAACACAACTTCTGATAAAATTGCTCCTAAAAATTCCACCTATCTAGCTTGTAAAAAATTACCTTCCCATTCTTCATTAGATTTGGTTTTATTTAATTAAATAATTAATAAAAAAGAAGTGATACAGGTAAGCAAATTGAAAATATTAGGATCTTTTCTTAAAAGATTTACCTATAAGTTAAACTTTAGTTCTTAGAACTAAAAAAAAACAATTCAGCCACTCTCCTCTATCTTACATAAATTAAAAAGTTGATTATCCATACAGTGCTTGTTACAGAGGTATGTTGGCACTCATTTTGAATGCAAATGACTGTGTATAAAGGAATTGTCGCTGTCCTTTCTACCCTGAATTTGCTCATTAGCCATGTGTGTGTATCTGTAAGTACACACACACTTTGTCACTCTCTGAAAAAATCATTTAAAAGAACTTTTAAAGGTGTATTTTCCTGCAGAACATCGTTGTCAGTGAGAGTGCTGCAGCCTAGGAGCCATGCCTTCTTCGGCCCATCTCCTGAATGTAATATAATAAAATGGATTTTCTCTTTCACTGGAAACAGCCCCATGGGTGGCTTTCCTTCTGCCTTGCATTTAAAAAGAATAGAGACTCGATTGGTATTGAGCTGAAGGCTGCTTTCTTGCCTCAGTGACCTGGCAGTGAGACTGACTGCGGGCTGCCCCTCTCTGGTTCCTGGAGCTGTGCTTAAGTTGCTGTAGGAGGTGGAGGTGGTGCCAGCGAGGAGGGCATAAGGGGAGGTGTGTCCCTCTCGTCCACATGGAGCAAGCATAAGCAGTGCTGCTTCTGAGAGTATCCAGGGGTTTCTTCCTCTCCCTGTGGCTCAGAGAAAGCGACAGGCACCAGAACAGAACACAAAAGAAAAATCATGTAGGTGACTGGTTTGAAGGTAACAAGTTCTGCCCTAAAATGGGCAAGGTTGGCAACTGAGAGAAGACAGACAGGAGGGAGAGAATAGAAGAAATAACTTGCAAAAAATGAAGGGCAAATTCTACATGGAATAGAATGCTAGGAATGCTAGGAATAGAAAATATAATTGTTAGGAATGGCCGAAGTAATCATGGTACATCAGCTTCTCAATTTCCATTTGACACTAAACAGCAAACAAACACTGATGTGTGGACATTACTTCTCTCCTTTTGAGAACAGTGTTGAACACGTGTTTTAGAAGGGGAAAGTTGCAGCCAGCTCAAAACATTAATGTTAGACTTGGGGAAAAGTGTGTGCAAGAAAATAATAGGGTTTAAATACCAAAGGCAAATGCCCTGCACAATAGATCTTCAAAAGTTTGGTTTTGGAGCATTGATTATAAGAGATAAGCTGAAAACCCCCTGCAGACAGCATAAGAGCAAAGTGTGTCACATCAAATTATGCACCTGGATTCTCTGTAGTGGTAGGATGTGTATGGGAAAGTGGGGATTTTAATGCAGCCAGGAAATCCGAAGGAAGTGAAGGAAAGATCCATCTCTCCACCTTGATAAAGGTGGTTTCAGCTGGGGTCTTCCTGGGTGGCACCAAAGGTGATTGGGGTAGCTCCTGACATGTGCAGTGACACAGCCAAGGGAACACTTCCTTGCAGAGTTTTTAAGCTAGGACCATCCACAGTTTTCAAAAGACCACAGCAGAAGTATTTGCACACCTTAACAAGTAAAGCAAATGTGAATTGTTTAAGGAGCAAAAGATACACCAGTGCCTAAGAATGTTTGATTGAGGCCTTTTGTAGTTGGAAAAGCAGCTTCATGTCACCTGCTAATGACATGTACAGATCTGGAGTCGTACATGTGGGGAAGGATTAATATTGAATAGTGTAGCTGATAGAAGTAGCCTGTGAGATGGACTGGGAACTTGTTTTTTTCAGGCCCAGAGGTTTCTGGCTTTGTGTTGTTCAGCTGCTTTTCAAAAAGGTAACCTTTGCCAGCATTTGGTAAACTCTTATTTATCTCACAATAAATTTATTCATTTGCACTTACTTACTTCACAAGAAATCTATTCAATTTTGTGGGGCTGTGGACATCATAGATCAATAGATGTGTACAGAAATAGAATTTCTTACTAGCCTGATAAAGAAGCTGGTAAGTAAATTAAGTAGGTATTGTTTTAATTAATGATAGAGTAAGCTACTTAGCAGTCCAAAAGTGTAATCTTTAAATAAATAAACCTGTATATGATAACCAATGTCTGATCATGGTTCCCTATTTGAAAGTATTTTACTGAAGCATTGCAAACATGAAATTAACTAATTAGATTTGAAATTAAAGAGGTTTACTTTGAATAATAGGTATTCATTAGAGCACTTGTTTTCATCAAAGTCTAATTTAGTATTTAGGGAAAAAACCTACTTAGCAGTTGGGTACTAAAACTTCAAGATTTATAAATAATAAAAAAATACATAAATAAGTGCAATTTTTACAGACAGCAGCATAGTTCCAGTAAAAACATGAGGCCCCTGAAGCACATTGTGTCAAAGATGTTATTTAATGCAAAGATTCTAAACCAAGTAATCAGACAGTGAAAAAATCAGACAGAAAAAAATCTGACTTCAAACTAAATGGGCTAATGTTAAAGCTTATTTCAAAATATTAGGAATGTGAAAATACAGTAGAAACTGCAAAATGATAGGTTTTAAGAAAACATTCTCCTATTGGGAGTAAATCTCTGAATGGAGAACCATTTAGCACATTACTAGAGAGATGGATTTCTGAAGATGCAGAACAGACCTTGAGAAAAAATGAGATTTAAAAAAAAGGAAGGGAGCAGAGGTGTGGGTGTAATTAGCTGAGCATCTCAGAGTGGTGGCAACTACATTAACAGAGAAAATCAGGTCAGTGGTACACCACAAGGTCAAGAAAACAGTCCACACTAAATTATAGTGAAAGGCACCAAGTGTCTTGATAAGGAGGAAAAATTAGAGAAACATGCTGCTCTTTTTTGTCAGTGTGTCAGATTGCTGCATTTCTGAAATAAAAAATTTACAGCGACCCTTCTGTCCAACATCCTACATATATATGCCATGTAAGCATTTTGGGCAGCTTTAAAAGCCTCTTGGCATTTGTATAATCAGACTCAAAATGAGGTGGAGAGGCAGAATGATGAGCTAGCTCATTTCAAGCAATTCTCAATAGTAGCTCAGAGCAGATAAGTCCCGGGGGGAATTCTAATGGGAATAACCCATTATGGATAGGACTGGACAAATATGGAAACCTGCTTTTTTATGTAATTGTATATTAAACCATATTCCAAAGCACTTCTGAAATACCACCTGCTATTAAAAATGTTCTTAGTCAATTATAAATTTGGAAACACTAATAAAAACAAATATTTATAAAATGCAGAAAGAAATAATAGTAATTTCAGACCTGGAGCAGTTAAGTGGAATATTTCAGTTAAAAGGCAGATTTCACACTTAGTGTAAATAGATTTATTCAGGGATGTGCTTTAAAGTTTTGAATAGTTTTATTCATGTGAGTACCATGTGTCAGTTGTGGGGACATGGTCCACCACATAAACTGAAACCATGACAATACTTTGCAAGAGATACAAGAACCTTGTGGCAAATTTTAAAAGCCAAGGACTCATATAAAATAGTCCATAAACTCTTGAGTTTAGATATGCCTCCTCCAGGTCTTCTGAGACTTCCCTCCCCTTTCTCAGAAATACCAGCTGTTCAGTAAAGCAGTTTAACAAAATGTATGAGTTAAATATTTCATATATCAAGTTTCAGCTGGACTTAGTTTTTTGTAAAGAAGAAAGAATAATGGTGTGACTTTGTACAATTAATAGCTTAGATATTATTGTGTGATAGGGTGCATTGTAATGTATTACAGATGTTTTACTGCAATATCAATAAATAACATGTTTTCCTTTAAAAAAAGAAACAAACAAACTACAAAATAGTGTTTAATATGTCTCCTCCACTGGATGGAATTTACAGTACTTATTTTGTGGAGTTGGTGGTTCAGCATCTTTAACCTACTTAAAATAGTGTGTTTGGACTCACTGACCTACTAGTTTTAGCATAATGAATTATCTCATATCTGTAAACACACATTTGCCTCTTAATTCTGTTAGTCTCCAGAAAATTAATCAGAACTATATTTATAGCATAATTTAGCAATGGTGATTTAAGATTATTGAGTTGGAATAGTTAGCATCTCATCATCAGACACAATGCAGTCTCCCCTGTCATATCTAATTCTAATGGTAAAATGCAACCAGGATTTCCCAAGCAAATTCATTATGTCCTTAAGTTTTAAAACTGACTTCATGCGGGTTTCTTCTTTGCAGCATTCTGTCTCTTTAGACCCATCTGAATTATGTAACTGTGGCTGCCTTTTGCACCTTCTCCCTTGTTGCAGAGAATAGGGATTTGCCAACATTTAAGCAGCTCAGCTTCTCGGATCAGAGCCTGCCCCTCTCTAGACCCTCAGAACAAGCATGAGAAATCTGTTCTGTGGGGCTGCAGCTTTATGATTTAAAATGAAGTGATGTGGGTGGCTTGTGACAGGAATGCACACATCCTAAACGAACAGCAGTTTCCATGGGGATGTCTGCACCTGTAATAGCAGACAGTCACATGTCATTTTTATTGCTGGAAAATCCTATTTCTCTATAGCATTCTTGATAATTTTGTCTTGTTTCTTTTTTCAGCCCAATGCTGTAATAAAGTGATTTGACATGGAGTTCTGTGATAGTCACAATATCCACTGAGAAGCTGAAAGACATTTCAGTTCATAAAAGTGAGGTTCATCCACCTTGCTCCCAGGTAACTTCATACAAAAAGATCTGCTGTGGTGCTTTCAATATATACCTTTTTAAAGAAATATACACCTTTTAAAAGCAATTTAAAAGACTTGCTTTAAAAGCAATTCTTTTTAGAATCTTGGAATGGCTTGGGTAGGAGGGAACACTTAAAGCTTATCTAGTCCAAACCCCTGCAATGAGCAGGGACATCTTCAACTACGTCATCAGGTTGCTCAGAGCTCTGTCCAACTTGAATATTTCCAGGGATGGGTGATCTACCACCCCTCTGAGCAACCTGTGCCACCATCTTACCATCCTCATTGTAAAATTTAGATTAATTCTGGCTCATATTAAAGAAACTATATTGCAACTGGTCATTTTAAAGCTTGTATTTGAGAAGGATAAAATGAGTATATCGTTCTAGAGGTATTTTATTTACAGACCTTGCTTTGAAATAGAATATTTCTATTCTAGATGTTAAATCTTAGGAGTAAGATCACATCATAATAAAGCTGTTTGCTCTTTTAAGTAGTTTGAAGTAAATAAGGAGTATCTGCTTGAGAGAAAAGGAACTATGTCCACCTTGTATTTATAGTTTAGGATTCAAAAACTTAAGTTGGGGAACACACCACTAACTGTGTGAGAACAAGGTAGACTAATCTGCTTGCTGCTGATGAAAAATGCATGTGAAATCTGTAGCTCCGTGTGTGGAAAGCAGGACAACCAAGACCACCAGTTCTGCCAATCAGTCATTCACATTTCCCACTGTTTTCCTCTATTGTAGCAAAATGTGAGAAGCTGCCCTCAGGCCACACAAACAATGCTCTTTATTGGTCTTTACTGAGGCATGATGGGCATCTATGCAGAGACTGCCAGCCTCAAAGTAGTGCTAGTGGATGACATCTGCCAGCCTGGCTTTGCTACAGATAGATTTATGAGCTGTGAAAGATGGCCAAATTAACATCTTCTGCATTCTTGATAGGATTAGGGTTTCTGGGACATGCAGCCATTTGCATATTGCCCTGACTTACCACATCAGCATTGTGTTTGTGGCTCATTTTAATAGATTGGGAGGCAGTGGGGGCTTTCTCCCTTTGCATCCTACTGCTCTTCCAGCCAGTCTTGGCAGTGGCATAGCTGTGTTGGTTTAACAGACCTAACAGAAATCACACTTCTTGTTCTGGCTTCTTCCAGCTAGAACCTTAATGCAACTCAAGAGCAGCAGCAGCTGTAAAAGCAGTTTTGCTCAGGGAAGGATTCTCCTCACTGTGGTGAGCTCATGCAGACACACACATGAAGTTGGATGATAATGCATTTCTATGACAGACAACAAAAGTTGTCCATAGGAGTTAAAGAGAGAAGATCTGACAGAAGCTACCTTTCTATGGCCTCGAGCAATTATTGAAGGTCTTGGAAAGGTTAATTTACCAATAGAAATGTAGCTGAAAACTCTGTTAGCCTTAAATCTCTGTCCCTTCACCCCCTCTCCACACAAGACTTAGACCACATTTTTTTTAATATGTATTTTTATTTTATTTTCTATATATTTATAAATGGTGATCATCCAGTGTTGGTAAAATGTAGTTTGTGCTTGTCTAGACTGGAGATAGCTGCTGTTTGCTGTGTGTGTTGAGTGACAATGACCACACACCCCTCACAATGTTCCCCAGCCTTGGGGGCCCTGTGTGGGATAACTGGGTTAACAGCAGAAGCCTGTGCTGAACAGGATCCCTAAGGTGCCTAGAAAAGAGAGGGTATCCAACAAACGACTGCTTTAAATTTACAAAGAATATTTATATATACTTACTCCTTACCCAGACTGTAATAATAAAAAAACAAATGAGCTATCATTTTTCAGGAAAGTACGACTTTTCCAGCCTTATCTTCTGAGTTACCTATGCCAATTTTTTACTCTCATTTTCACTGATTTAAAATTAGCTGGTACTTCCTCCCAAGTGTGAATGACTTCTACTGCAACTGATGTGTGATGGAAATATTTTCATTAACCTCATTCAAGGGTTAGCTCCAAATTTCCCACAAGAAGTCTACTCCACACTGGCACCTTAGTTTGAATAATTTGAAAGGAAGTAGAACTGTTGAGAGTCCCACCACTCCATCAGGTTGTGGGCAGAGGAATTACAGAGGTGGAAGCATACCTGAGCACCAGAGTCTGATCTCCTGAGGCAGCAAAGAGCGTGAAGAAGGCAATGAAACATCTGCACAGCCACTGCAGGTGAGGAGGACCTGTGTAAAAGGCAGACCAGGCTGTGGCTGATTATACTGGGGTATCATTAGGCACATACATGTCATTTTGTGATGTTATTTCATTACTGAGCCACGTTTACCACATGGGCACATTAAAAGGAAGAAAGCAACCAAAGCCAGGTGATTTGGGCCCTTGCCGCCAGCCTGGTGCTGGCAGAAAGGGCCAGCGGGCTCCTCTTGGTGTCCCAGACTGTGTTTTCCCCATAGGTGCCCCCTGCACATGGCCAGCCCCCGCTCCAGGGCTACCTCATCTCCCAGAAATGAAAACAGAAGCTTCATCTCCCTTGGGTCCATAATAACTTCTTTCTTAAACCAAACTACCTTTTGTTTTCTGCTGCTGTTTTCCTACATGCCCACGGCCCCATGGAAGGAGCCCACTGAAAGGAGCCTCCCGTGCCATTTGCTGGCCCCATGAAGCGCTGCAGAGCCCCCCAAGATGCTGTCCGTGTGTCGGTGTGTCCGTGTGTCGGTGTGTCCGTGTTTGGCGGCTGCCGGCGCTCACTGGGCCCGTGCTGGGTGGGATGACATCAGGCCCCGCTCTCCGTAGGGCCTCAGCTTGCCCCGACCTCTGCTGAGGGGAGAAAACATCACAGGACAGCCTCCCGGCTCCAATGAGAACACAGGCAGCTTCTGCCAGGGATAAAAGAACTTTAAAAAAAAGAGAGAGACTGTAGTCTTGGAGCTGCTATTAACGGGAGATGAATTGCGAGACCATTTCATGCCCAGGGACTTCAGAGAGCAGCATCCCCAAGAGCCATTAGAGCCGTGCTGGAGCCCTTTGCTGTCAGGACAGAAGCATGCATATAAATTTTATGCCATTTGTCTTTGAGCAGAAACAAAAGATCAGCTCGAAATCCTCAGCATCTTGTCCCGACTAACAAGAAATAATACTGTCTTGTGTGGCTGTCTTGTTAGTCTTTTCCCATCAAAGGTGCGATAAATTTATTCATAATTTTGGAAGGTTTTGCTGTTAAAATTAAAAAAGAAGCAGCAAACACTTGGAGTTGAAGTTATATTTATTCCTGTTAGTGCAAATCATGCTGCTCCTAAGGATCGTGATTTTGGGAAGTGCACAGTACTTTTTTAAATTGAAAAGAAACACAGCTTTAAAAGGTTAGCCACTACACTTTCTTCTCCTGCATTTACTAGACTAACTCCAAGGATGAGACATCTAATGTTTTTTCTAGTTACAACTGCAATGTGAAAAAAATTAATTACTTTAATTAGGATTTTTTTCTTTTTCAACCAAGAATTCAAGCCCTATAAACATTTTGGGACCTAAAACTTTAATTTACTCATGAGAGAATATCTGCTGGGTTCAGTAGTCAGATTAAATACAGGCTCTGTAAATAATGTGGAGAATTAAATGCTTTAAGGCATTTTTTATTAAATTAAGAAGGTGTGCATACAGATATTACATACAATTTTGTATTTTAGGATTTGGATATCTTTGATTGGACCAGATTTTGTCCTATGGATTTCCTTTGTTAAATAGTTTAGTACTTTGTGAATGTGTAATAAGAAATTAGTTCTGTGTTTTACCATAACACTTCCATCAAACATTTTCTCATTTTATGCCAGAAAATAATGTCATGTTAGAGCCTAAAATTAACTACAACCTAGTCCTAAGAAGTCTGATTTTACATGGAGCAATTATTGCTGGGTTTCCTCTAGCAGATGAACACGGCAGCTCCTCCAGCTGGCCCGACAGCTCTGCTGTGGGTGTGCAATGGGTGAGCGAGCTGCTGCCCAGGCTGCATGCAGCGTGTGCCCAGCAGGCAGCAGAGCCCTTGCTGAAGGAGGGCCTGTGCCTGCCCAGGCTGCCAGGGCCAGCAGCAAGGACAGAGCCCTGAAACAGACCTAGAAAGATATAC